AGTCTGAAATCTGCCCTCACTTTGACATTTAAAGGTTCATTATATAACTTTTTAAATGTATGAATTGTTTTTTACTGCCAGTGGGTGAACAGGTTTTATCTAACTTAAAAACTGAGACTTTCTCCAACTTTCTCAGTTGCCTGTAACAGCCTGTGGACTGACCTCTGTGTAAAAGACTTTTACTGGAAAATTCAAAGGATGTGATGTCATGTATAATCTCAAGTGCCTTGCCTCTCTTCAGCTCCGCTACAGCATTAACTGTGTGCATCAGTGGCTAACATAAGCCAAAAAAATAGAGTCTGCGAACATCAACAAACAACCAGCAGCCACAACACAGATTCCACACATGCTATATTACCATTACATGCATTTGCAGCAGCAGCCAAGTGAGGACCAACCTTCACTTAGCACCCTGTAGCAATTTAAATTCAGCAAAAGCAAGACTGAGCACTCAGCGGTTTGATCGCGGGCCGCCCTCCCGACTGCCCTGAGTCCCTGCTGGATCAGCAAACTCTCTTTTGCCGACCTAACGGCCTCAGAGAGAGGCGCCACTAATGAGAAGGATTTTCTTGAAGTTACATACGGAATCTAGAAATAATGTACAATTCATCAAGATCAAATGAAGTTGGTGTGTCCCGTCAAATCTAAATATGAATAAAAAAATGAATGAATAAAACTCATAAAAGGATCCACATGAAAGCATTTCGTTGGGTTATGTATATTTTCAGGTTTCCAGCAACGAGACTTAGGTGTGCTTTAAGTAAGCACCAGTGATTGATCAGACTGCAGTTGCAAATAAAATCATGGAGACTGTTATATATTTTGAGAAGTGTGCAGCTCCATGGCACAGCAGCAGAAATAAGCTTATTTAAGAATAAAAAAAGGTTTGCAAATGAACAACTGGCAAATGTATTAAATGTGTATAAAATGAACATACACAAGTACTTTTTAAGAAACGCCTTTTTCAGTCAGACTTTACTTTTTGTCCGTCTCACAGGTTTTAAGTTATTCCTAAAATATCAGCATCAACCCAGCGGCAAGTTAAAACACAACCCCAATAAGCCTCACATATGGTTTTCAGGGGTAACACCACTGACAAGGTTTAGTGCCTGGGACCGATAACTATATTAAGCTGATACACACACACATACACACACACCTGCACTGCTTCATCTAGTAATTGAAGGTGAGAAATAATTTCATTATCCTCAGGAAGAGTAATCTGCTCTCTACTCCTGATCCCTTCATTTCCTACAGTGCACCTCGACCTGGGAGGCACACACACACACACACACACACACACACACAAAACATGCACACATACTTATCACACATGCATGCACACATGTACACAAACACACAGGCACACACATAGTTCCTATCACCCTGGGCTATTAATGTTATTGGAGTTGGGGATTAACCATCAGATTCACATATGCTTTACAAAGCTTTATTACTTAGAGCTGTCTGTCTTGCTCTCTCACACACACATGCATGTGTTCACACACTCACTCATGCACATACACACACAGGCACATAACTTTGTATTAAAGAAAGTTAATCTGGGAGTGTGGGCACCAGTTCATGGACAGGAACAGGCCCTCAGCAGATGTGGTTTAATGCGGATGCACAATCCCCGTGAGGATGTGTAGACACCCCAACAGGACACACTAAATAAAATCTCATCTAAAACTGTAGATGAGAGTAAGGTAGCCATTATTGTTCTTCTTCTGCCAGTGTTGTTTGATGTCAGATCACGCCAGCTTTAATGTTGCATTACCACCCTCTGCTGTTCATCCGCCCAAGATATTCTGGGTGGCCCTTGATGTCAAGTGTCACAGCCACACACACATCTGTGCACACACAGAGGAAGGGCTAAACTGTCATTTCACAGGGCAAAGGTGTGCTGTGGGACACCATCACGTTTCATGTGAACACACGATCACATGAGGAGGGGTCAAAGTTAAGGGGGAAGGAGGAATTAGGATACATCTTAAGACACACAGTACACCACACATACACCTATTCTAGAGGATGAACAGGGACTGATGCAGCTCTGTAACTGCAGTCACGTCCAAATTTCACTTGAACATAGGACTTGACAAGAGTATCCAAAATCTAGTATATCGAGTTCAATTGTCCTTCTCATTTTTTTATTTTTTTTTACATTGGTCAGTGCACAACACTTCCTTTATTGTGCTGGCTTACTTTTATGTATGTGTCTGTGTTAATGACAGTATGATCAGTTAAAGATTCTGAACTGGAATTTGGGCTCATCAGTTGGTGTAATGTCAAGTTAGATGTCCTTGTTGTAGCTTTTTAAATCTAAATTACTGTATATGGGATCCAGGCTCCTGAAAATTAAAAAGCTGAGATGTGAGTAAATTTAGGTAGGCTGTAGAGATTCTCAATGTTACAAATGTACTTAATATGATTCATCGTCCAGCCCTTCCTTGAAAGGACAGAGCTGGTAAAATTCTATATTGTTCTGTGTATGTCTTACACTCAATCACTTGAAACAGATATCTGCATATGTATGCAGAACCTCCGGGACAACAGGACATGATTTTGGTATCTGAAGCATTCTGGTTTCAGTTTGTAGTCAGAGTAGTACTGAACAATCACGTTTGAGCTGCAGGTAAATGGTCTGTGTGGAGAGGCAGAGCGCGTTGGCCGGAATGCAATCTCAGATCGACTATCATCTGACAACGAATTAACTCTTGTTACCTTTTTTAAAAAACTGAATCGGCCTCCATACAGAGATATATGTGTACAGAGATTACCCAAAAATGACCATCGCGTGGAAATTTAGACAATTTTGTAATAACTCTTAGTCTGAAACTCTTGTTCAATAAGCAATCTTTGTTTTTTTATCTTTTTCTTTTTATGGATGATTGTTGTTATGCACAATTATGCACAATGTCTTTTAATTACATTTTCCTCTATTTTCTACCCATGTGTATGCAAAAAAACTAAACTAAACTAAAAAGAAGACTTTGCCCTGATATCCACCGGCTACACTGGATATCCTGAAATATTCTCTATTGTCCCCAGAGGCTTATCTTCGTCAGACCAATAGCCAGTGGGTTCCAATGCTCACAAAGCTATTACACCCAATGTTTGTAAATCCAAGATGAAAACAGGCCCCAAAACTCCCGTTTGAGTAATGTCTCCAAAAACTACAATGCAGAACTGTGTCAGGAAATTACTTTGCCTTTTTAAAAAATGTAACCTTAAATTCTGGGACCCATTTTTAGAGATTTTTGTTTCACATAGTAAGAAGTAAGAAATTGCATCATTGGTTTTTTGAACTATCCGAAAACTACGTGGAGGCTCTTGCACACCTTAAATAATAAAAGTAAAAATGCACTTTATTTATCAGCGCCTTTCAAAGCACTCAAGGACACCTTACAAGACACAGTTTAAACAAACATGCAGCAGTGTATCCATAGATCATAAAGTCTAACAATTTTGTAATATAAAAATTTAATTAAATGACTAGACAAAAAAAATCGTAACTATAAATGTGAGGTATAAAATCATCATCAGTGCAGGTCTCAATATACGTGTGTCACCATTAATGCCAGCTTGAAAAGGTGTGTTTTCAGATGGGATTTGAGAGTGGAAAGGGAGTCACCATAATTTTGTCTCATCTGATATTGTCTGTATTTTGCTGCAGTGACCAATGTGCCAGTTGACAGTATAAAGTTTTCTGTGCTGTGTGACGGCTGAAGGGGAATAACAGATGAAATTTAAAATGTCACCTTATTTAAGCCTTACATGTCTTGACACTCTCTAGACACACAGTATAGCTACTCGGGCTGTCATTGTATTTGTACGTGTGTGTGTGTGTGTGTGTGTGTGTGTGTGCTGTCAGGCCAAGACGTAGAAAGCGTGTTTTTTTTTCTAATGGGGAAAAGGAATATTTGGACATTTTATCAATAGGCATTATTAAATCCTGCTTGCTTGAGCTAATCTTGGCGGACCGGAGCGAGGGGAAAGAGAGAGAGCGAGAGAGAGGGCGAGCGAGAGAGCTAGGCGCAGAGAGGGCGAGTGAGAGAGCAGTGATGTCTGCCCCATGAGGTGAAGAGAGACCGCCTGTAAGCCGCTTATTATATCGACTACCACCTTTTCTCTCTCCTCCTCCTCTCACCCTCCCGCCCTCCCCAGTTCTCTCTCGTTACCTCGCTCACTTTCTATCTCTGTCTCCCTCCCTCACTTGCTTTCTCCAGTTCATTCTGTATCCCCTCATTCTCTTTTCTCAACATCTCCTTCATATAAACACACACACAGATGCATGTGTGCACACAAACACACACTGACGGCGCCAAGCCGAACCTTCTTGTTCAAAGCCAGAAGCGAAAAGCTGAAGTTTTATTCAAATGAATGTTTACTTCTTCTACTGCCAACGTGTGTGTGTGTGTGTGTGTGTGTGTGTGTGTGTGTGTGTGAGAGTGTGTATGCTGAGAGAGAGAGAGGAGGGAAATAGCACCAAGGATGCAAGTGTGTGTGCGTTAGTGTGTGTTACATGCACGGCAGAAGGAGAAGGGCTGACAGTAGGTGATAAGCCAGACAGGCCTGCACGCTGTGATTATCACCCACTGGACCCCCTGTCACACACACACACACACACACACTTGCATACACAGTGCCCAATGAGAGAGTGTGTTGCAAGGATTTAGGATAGACAGACGGATGGACAGACAAACAGAGACAGAGAAGCCTTGGATCACAGGCAAGGTGGAAACCACAAGAGAAGCAAATGAACACAGACTGGAACACACAATGCATCCAATTATGTTTCACTGAACACTCATTGTCTTTATTTGGGTTTTATATCAATATTAAGGCGTTTTGATGTTGAGACACTGGAATCAAAGCGCTCTGTCACATCGGCGATGCGAGATAAACGCCTTCAAATAAAGATCTGTCGCTGAAATGGATGAAACATCACTTGGTAACTGAGTCTCTAACTCTCTCTTGGTCTCTGTCTGACTCAGGTGTGTGGCCGTCTGAAGAGGTGATGGCTCATTACTGCCTGCAGAAACGCCACATGTTCAAGTGAGTTACTCTTCTTTTAAAACCTGCTCGCTCCATTGTCAAAGGACTCAACAAGAACTAACAGCTGTAAATAAGTATAAAGATCAGATACATATTTTTTTGAGGCTGTATTTAAAGGGATAGTTCATCCCAAAATCAAAAATACATATTTTTGCTGTTACCTGTAGTGCTGTTTATCATTCTCGACTGTTTTGGTATGAGTTGCTGAGTGTAAGAGATACTATTTCATGTCTGCCAAATCACAGTGCAGAGGGAAGTCTGCATCTACTTGTGGACAAGAGGCTTGAACATTAATGGCGTCCTCCTCGGCTGAGCTGTGATGTTAGCTAGCTCAGTGATGCTAGGTTAGCTAGCAGTAGATGCACACCTCCTTCTGTGCGACGGTTCGGTTAGCGGGTGTAGTTTGGTGGAATAATTTTTTCTTTTTTAAGGAAATTAAGGGCCTGTCCTTATAATGTGGCCTTTATTATAGAGTAAAGTTACAGCCTTAGTTTTCAGTTTTAATTGTTGTATTTTACTTTATTCTATTGTATTTGTATACTTTTATTTACTGATTTTTTTGAACATTTTATTGTTGTAATTTTTTAGTCTTGCAATTTTTTTTATTATTATACTATATTTTATTATTTTGATGTTCTTTATTTTATTTTATTTTTTGTCTGTGTTGTTTTTATTTTGCTATGAGTCGAGAAAGAAATTTCTTCCTACAGTAAAACTGCTCACAACAAGGTCTGTGGATTATCTTGAGTAACCGGGTCATGATTTCTGGAATGAGACACTGCTGTTGAGTTTTTCAGATGTATTTTTTGGCACTTTGAAAACCACAAGCTGAGTGCCATCTAGTTCTGTTATATTTGAAAGAGGGCAGACATTTCTACGGCAACTCACACCAAAGCAATCTCAACTGATAAAATTGTACTACAGGTAAGAGGAAAAACATGTATTTTTGATTTTGTGGTGGACTGTCCCTTTAAGTTAATTCTAATTTATATGGTTAAGAGTTTTTGATTATTCTTTGACAGTCTGTTGCACTGCAAACAAATGAGACATTTAGAAAGATGTGTAGTAGAATGTAATGGCCGTCCTTCCACCATGTTTGAATTTTTAAAAACCTGCTGCATGACAGTAAATCGCTTTATGACACAAATTAGTGAGAGGGTTTAGAGCATTACATTTGTTGTGATAACAGAAGGTGTGTCAGTGGAGAAAGGCTGTTGGATCCCCTCTAATTTAAATCCAGCAGTAAACGCCCAGTACTTGTGTCATTCTGTGCCTTTCCATGCCACGCTGTGTTGTCCTGTGTTGCTCTTTCCCCTGCTCTCGTCGGCTGAGCACCGGCCTGCCCTGCGGCACGGGGCTGAAAAGCACCCAGGCACCTTTGATTTCCACTCAAGGTGGAACGTCACCCTTTGATTTCCTGTTTTAACATTCAAGAGGCGGGAGGCGAGGAAGAGAGGGGTATTGATCAGAGCAGCGTAGTGAAGGTCAGCGAGAGAGGGAGGGAGGCAGGAAGGGATGAAAGAGGACAGGGGTAGAGATGGAGGGGAAGGGGAGATGAAAGGAGGAAGAGGATGGAGAGAGGGGTTGAATGAGCATGCAAGCTACAGGACTGTGTGTGTGTGTGTGTGTGTGTGTGTGTGTGTGTGTGTGTGTGTTCTCAGATTCCTGCTGATTGAGCTTGTGCTTCTCAATGTTCAGTATTCAGCTTTCAGGTTGATGGTTGAATTGATATTTCTTACCCTGCTGTGTTTACTGTGTGTGTATGTGCATGTGTGTGTATGATAGCTTGTGTGAGTGTGCATCTACTGTACAGTGTGTGTGTGTGTGTGTGTGTTGGTGCTAAACTGCTGGGTTTGGCTCAGCAAGGTGAATCTCACTTCCACTCTTCGCTCTCTCCCTCTCTGTCTCTCAGGGGTGCAGTGTGTGAGTTAGGAGGAGGTATGACTTGTCTTGCTGGGCTCATGGTAAGTGACACACACACACACACGCACAAAGATTTACACAGATATCTGCAGGAGAAGTGGTTTGGCTTCTCTAATGAAATTGACCCTCACCGATCAATACCCAAACAGCATGGGCACACAGTATCCATACCTATTCATATACAGATCATTCACTTCTTGTGTGCCTGTGTGTGTTTTGGTACCTCCACAAGTGTATGCAGGCACACTCTTTACCCACATTAGGCCCAAGCCCTGCATATGCAAGCATGTGTGCATCGTGAAACCTGTAGTTTTTTTTCAATGCCCATGTTACCAGTTTAGAGCAGCCACACTGCCCGCATGAGCACTGCTTTCTGCACGATGAACTCAGTTCTCAGTAAAAATAGACCGTGAAAAAGGTCTTTTGATAATCATATCGATATTATACCACAAAACTACAGTTTTAATGTTAATATTATTTTATTGTGAAGTCTTTGCTTGACTGTGGTGTTGACAAAACAGCTGTCTCGTTTGCATGACTCCATAAATGAGTGGAGTATCGGCTTTTAATTGTGAAAATTCAGTAGATGCAGCAACAGGCAGCTCTGCAGCACCGCTACAGCAACAACGCTGCATGTGCGAGCCCTAGCAGTTCTGCAAGGAAGCTAACAGACACCGGTCATGCATGCACTGTGGCCTGGACCTTAAATCAGCAGCAGGTTACATGTCTGCTCCTCAGTGTTAAACACCTCAGGCCATAATCACAGAACATTTTATATCTATGCTCCTTACTTGCTGAATAAATTGTTTTGTGGCCTGAGAAATTTACAGTGTGCATTAGTGCTGAAAACAGCTCCTTAATCTATCGACAGTCTGACAGTCTGCTTCATTATGGGGTCAATGTTTTTGGAACACTCTAACAATGCTGACCTTTTAGACATATTGTTTAAAGTAAAACCCAGTTCAGAACAAAGATTAGCAATGAGTCGAGTTGAAACATGCAACTACTTGCAATGCGCTGTTCTGCAACTTCTAAAAACCTGCTGGTTCACACCAATGCAACTAGATGAGACTGTGTATCATCTCTATGCAACAACTCTCTGTACTACTGTTCTGATTTCCAGCTTTTCAGGTTTATTTTGTGGCTGAATATAATTTGTAGCTTCTTTAGATATTCATGATAATGATAGTGAGATAGTGGCTACAGTTGCATTTGTAGCCACAATAATATAAATAACCAGCACCAATTAATCAGTCAGTGAGTGAACTCTACAAGCTGATTGGCCAATTCACACTGCTGCAACTGTTCTCTGCGACGTTCTAGAACGGTTTCATCTTGTTGTGAATCTTTCGTCTGAGCTGGGCTTAAAAATTCAAAGTACGTTGTTTTTTTAGATGCAAGGGCGTTCTCGGGTGGATTCCTTCCTATAGGGTGCCATATTCAAATTTGAAAACATCTAATAAGGGAAAATGATCTAATGTTTAGGGCAGACTGTGATAGGTGTACCACCCCTAGTCCTGGTACTGCTCATCATTGGCAGCACATGGTAGAGCACTGAGGGGTGTGGTGGGGTGAAGTATATTTGGAGAACATTAGCAAATGAAAAGGCAAAAGTCATCCAGGGTGCAGTACAAAAAAAAGGAAAAAAATGAATTTTGCACCTTATTTTGTTATTGCTTACTTTTTTTTTTAGCATTGTTTGTCAAATTTTGTCAAATTTGTTGTTGTTTCTTTTGGTGAGGTGTGGGGAAGAGGGGAAGCTTACCTGCCGACAGCACTGGGCTTTCTGATAACAGCTCAGTTAGTCATATGAGAAATAAAAAAGACAGCATCCTGTCCATTGCTAGAGTACTGTGGAGTTTGACTTTCAGACATACATATTGCCCTATTGAAAGATAACGATATTTTTATTAACTGTAATGAATATCAAAGCAAATCAACACAAGGCAAAGTTTCCAGGCGGGAAAACGCTTGCTGTGTCTGTGTGTCCCTGCAGACTGTGACGCCTCATGTCGCATTCACACATTTAATTTATTACAGCATATAAGCTGGCAGATTTTTTTTTTTTTTTTTTTTGGTCAATTAGCTTTAATTTGCTCTCCCCTTTGAATTATGTTGGTCAAACACATTCCTTAATTGTTAATATGGCAACTGTATTTGTACCTCTTGTTATTGTATTATTATGGTGAATTCAGACGCAACTCAAAGACTCAACAAAGCTCATTCATGAAACACAACATTATCCATAGTAAGAATGCTTTTTCCTCTCAGCTTTAGAGTTCCCTGCTTAGCAAAAATTGTTCTCAGTTAGCAGCATTGTTAAATGTCTTAAGAGAAAACATTCAGCCAGCAACTGTAGATGTCATTAAGGTAGACTCAGTGGTGAGATAAAATGCGTTGTGAATGTGGTCCAATTTTCTTTCAGTACCGGCCTACAGAAGGGAAATGCATAAGGAATCTCACTTACATTTGATTGTATGAAGAGCAGAATAAAACAGTGTATGTGGGCATTGATACGTCTTATCACACCTGTCACTTGCTTATTTATTCAACTTGTTTGTGGATTAATGGCAAACTGTAATTAAGGCACCATAAATAAACTGTCTGAATATTGCAGATTTAATATGACTGACAAATGGTATCCAAACAATTTTATATTTTCAGAATTTTTATGTTCATCAAAGCACTCACCCAATCACCTGAGCAGTGAGTCCTAGCTATATAAACTAGCTTGGGTCCAAAAAGCTGTCCTGTATTGACACAACACACACACACACACACACACACACACACACACACACACACTGACACACTCAGATATACCGCAGTCTGTCAGCCATAGGGTTTATTAGCCAGGGTCTTAAGGGCCCCTCCACATAGCAGGCGTCAGTGTCCCATCGATCTGCTAGATGCCATTCTCTGGTGGGTGTGCGGTAGCGTGTGTGTGTGTGTGTGTGTGTGTGTGTGTGTGCGTGTGAGGGTGTGTATGTGAGAAAGCCTGGTTTTATCTCGTCGCAGTCAATACACCATGTTTTGACATTGGTGGCTTGAGATGGAATCCTTCCTTCACACCTCTCCTTGTCCTCATCCCTCCGTCATCCGTCACTGACACCACATCCAACGTGTTTTCTCTGTTGTCTGTTTGAACAGTTCATTAATTATTCCTTTAGTTGCTGAATTTCATCCCTCCCTTACACCCTGTATTTTTGTTATTCATTCACCCTTTTATTTTCTGTTCTGTACTATTTTCAGGCCCTGATATCAATTCCTCCTTCCTTTCTTACACATCTTCCAGCAGCATCCTGTTAAACTGCACTCTAGATTTTAGGATAATATTAAATGTAATTCCCTGTCTTTATGCTGATGATATAGACCAGTCCATTGTGGGTAGCATTCATTTAGTGTACAGTTGCCACGTGCAATCAAATTAAGATATATCACTCCAACTTTTGTAGCCTCAACCCCAAATAGATCGAGCTTCTCTAAGTAGACTTGAAGATCATGCCCTGGCCATTTCTAGTCATGGTTAACTCTTTTTATCTACTCTGCTTTTAAAGCTATGATCTCTATCATAGGGTTTTTAGCCACCCTACTGACATGGCTCTAGGGATGGCAATGCTGGTCAGCCGTTTGGTCAATCTATCACCTGAGTTGTGACAAACGGGGGTTCATACAAATTCCATGACTTTTCCAGGTTCAAAACCTGGAAAAGTCATGGAATTTGAAGATAGCAATTTCCAGGCCTGGAAGAGTTTTGGAAAAATAAATAAACCCAGAGAGTTTTGAAAAAGTCATGGAAATATGCTTCACAAATACCTGTATAATACGGTGTTAATGTCCAGGCAGATCAGTCACGACACTTGACATTATGTTGTACATGGGTCATGGCAGACTTGGACCTGAGTCGCAGGTGTAAATTCATGTAACACCATGAAAATGCTGATTTATTAATTTCTGACTTGACTTGGATAAGTATAAGGCATGAGATGAGAAAGACCAGCACCTGGGATGCACAAAATGTGGACTGTGTAGTTAAAGTTTTGACATTTTGAACATGGGAGAAGCAGTGCTAGCTAGCTATGCTAAAGGAGCTAAGTTAAGCAGCTGCTGCCGCTGTGCGATAAAACTCCCATTACCAACATTCTTACCACGTTGACCCACGTGACACCCGCTGCCAGCTGCAGTGCTTTCTTCTCGTTCACCATAAAACAAGGGACCATTTTGGGTGCTGTGTCCAGAAATTAAACCATAATTGTAAAAGTACTATGGGTGCTAAAGGTGGCTAATTCTCACCAACATTACTCCTGAAAGTCATGTGAAGACACAAGACAGTTTTTTCAGGTCATGGTTTTCCCAACGGACAGCTCCCAGATTTACATGCAGTGAACACAAGTGCTCATATATCACAAAAACATTTCAGAGAATGTATGAAAATTTGCCTCAAAGTCATGGAAATTTATTGATAAAACTATGTATGAACCCTGGACATAGCTCAGCAACTATTGGACTGAAATTTGTGCAGAAATGTATAGTCCTCAGAGCAGGAATGCTGATACCTCTCTTGATCTCCTAACTACCTTGCACCACCAGCAGGTCAAATTGAAAAATGAAAATCACTTACTTTCCATCAGTGTCAACATCAGGCTGACATTTGCTTAGGAATAACATGTCTTGACAACATTTAAATGGATTGCCTTGAAATCTGGTACAGACATTCAGGTTCCCAAATGTGATTCCCATAAGTCTCAGCTGTACTTTGTGTTTAGTTGTAATAATTTAGCAAACGATAGCATGCTAATGTATTAAACTAAAATGGGAAACAAGGGGACTATCGGGGTGCCTCAGGGATACATGCTTGGTCCCCTATTCTTCCTATGGAGAGTGTATTGAACCACTGCAGAAGTGCTGATTTTTGTGATGGCATGATACTTCATTTCACAATTGGACATATGAAGAAATTACACATATTAGGAAATGTATAAATATGACAAGTTTTCAAATTAACCATCATAATAAAGACTTCATCCGTGCTCTTTAGAACAACACGTGGAAGTGTTTTATGATCTGATACCACTATCGACAGGATGACATAATAAATCAGTGGCTTCCAAAACCGATATATTGATATGAACCGATATAATGATTCAGTCATCAACAATACAATATCATGAATGCAAATTGATAACACTGATACATATTGCCATCTTTAAGATACACCGATATTTTGAAATTCCCATGGCATCGGGTGTCACTATTTCCTACCAAACACACCTCCCTCCTAAACAGCGCTAGCGGTCCACCAGGCAGGCACACAGTGACGAGCAGTCAAGTAGAAGACAATTAGGATGCTTACTGATATTTGCTCATATCGATCACAGGCCCCTCAATTGAATCAAATTAAAATTGTGTCATGGCAGACTTTGTGATATCAGCAAATATTGCATTGTTGTCCAAGGAAATCAACATAATATCACAGCGTGATGAAAATTGTGATATACACCCCTAAAAAATGACTGTTAAAAATCAATCTGTTTATGATGTGACATCATTGGTTTAGGGAAACATTGTGGTTTGAGTTTAAATGACTACTGTGCTAAGGTTTGGGGAGCTTCATTGTCACTGATACAATAATGAACCCTGAGTGAAGGTTAGGGAATGATCCTAGTGATGCTTGAATAAACACTTTGACTCCAAAGGTGTGGTTTTTGGTGTGATATTGGATTACTTACTTCACAGCAGCGTGCAGAGTTTGACATTTAGATAACCTTTGTTTAGATTAAGATGTTTGTGAGCATGTGATGGAGCCTGATTATGCACGTGTGTACAGTGGTGTTGGAGGGTTGTTGCAGCGTTGAGCTGCTGATCTTTCAGCTGGATGCTCTGGTTCAGCCTGGAGGTCCCTTCCTGCATTTGAGCAGATGGTGGGACACACAGCACTCAGTGACCCCCTCACACACCCTGCAGGGCCTTAACATGTGTGTGTGTCTGTGTGTGTTCATGTGTGTCAGAGCGTGCATGTGTGTGTGTTCTGTTTGCTTCAGAAATTTTCATACACTTGATATGCTCCATCATGTATTTTCCATATGCCATACGAGTCAAGATTACATTGAATCAGCCTTATAGGATTTGTGTGCATACCAACACAATAGCTACTTGCACTTACACTCACCCATGGGTATATGCGCACACACACACACTCCTTAACAGAAATTGACAGCCTGACACACACTTGCTGATATAAAAAAAGCATCTGCAAAGAAAAGAGAATGTGAAATGATGAGGTTATAGTAAAGCACACACCTCTCTATCTATATCTCCCTCACACAGAGACACACAGCGCAGCACAAAGCTTTCTATCCATTCTCCCGTCTCGCTCCCTCTCCCTCTCTTTCTCTTCGTCTCTCACAGTCTGCACTGCAAAGTTATATGAAGGGCATCAGGCAGGCCTGGCGAGCCGAGTGCAGAGTGACAGCGGCGAACGGAGTGATGGCTCGGCCCGATAAACACCCAGCGTCAAATGAAAAGGCTCTGCGCTTGCCATCATCCCCTGTCACAATGCAATTACTGAACAGAGTGATAGCAAGATAGCAGCCCCCACCGCTAGCCACAATGATAAAAGTATTGACTGATTTGATTGAATGATTAAAATAATGCAGACATAAAAATGGGGTGAAGATAGAGAGGGAAATGGCAGAGAGGAGAGGGAGCAATAGAGAGAAAGGGTGGGGCGGGCTGGGCTGCCAAGAGTGAAGCTTTGTAGATATGGTTATGTCATTATTGTGTGTGTATGTGTGTGTGTGTGTGTGTGTGTGTTCGTGTTCAGATGTTTGCTTCATCTAAGGGTGCTTTTGGTTTTGTTCTTTTGTTCTGTGTTGTTTCATTTCTCTGTCTCTTCCCTGTCTCTCTGTCTCTCAGGTTGCCATTTGTGCTGACGTGAAGGAAGTTCTGCTATCAGATGGGAACGAGAAGTCCATTCAGAGTATCCTTTCATCGTCCTCTCTCCTTCTCTTTCTGTCTATCTCTCTATCTCTGCCTCATTCCTCCAACTCACATTTATTTATATGCATTCATATGGGTTTATTGATGTGAAAACTTTTCTGTTTTTATTGGGGTTTTAATTAGGAAATTGGTCGTTTGTGCATTCCTGTACACAAAAATCACACTTGAATTCATCACATGTGAAACAAAGGGAGGGACAACAATCTTGCATCTAATATCACATGTATAACAGCATTTGACATCTGATTAATCGACATTAGGGTTGGGCAATATGGCCCTAAAAAAATATTGCAATATTTCACAGCGAGAGAGGAGAGGGAGAGACGCTGTGCTGCTGCCAGAGGAGCCGCTGAATGAGTTCCCTCTGAGCGGTAAGTCACTAAAAGAGTCTGAGAAGTCGGGGGCTGTTCATAAAACATTCAGGACGCCACAGTTTGTTCCACACTACTGAAGCTGCTCCTCTCTTTGGAACCACCGCAGAGTCGGTAATAATTTTGTTTTCAACCATGCTTGTTGTTGGCGTGCATAACAGTATCATTAATATGTCAACAAGTCGAAATATCCAGAGTATCACGATATTATTTTTCACATCATATTGAAAATTATACCAGTATTATCGTGAATGATATGATATGGCACAGCCCTAATTGACACATTTCACATTATGGAAAAAAAAATAGATTAAGTCACACGTGGTTTTCAGGCACACCCGATGTGCGCTGTAATATTTCCAACGTGTTTTCACCTCTAACTCGTCAAATACGGCAGCTTGGTCAATGGCCCTACACTGTGGCACGATGACCGTACTGCTGTAGCAACAGTTTTGTCTGTTTCCGTGTCAGTTTCCGCTTCTTACACGCATAGTGTCTTTACAAAATAAATGTCTATGTTCACAGGAAACGTAGGTTTAGGCAACAAAACTACTTGGTTAGTTCACATACGACATTGTTATCGAGTATGTCGTGTGACGTTAACTACGCTACACTTCTAAAACAAAACTCACTGTTGACTTTTGGTTTCACAGAGGTCATGAGCACTTGCTCTTGGGTGACAGTCCTGTGTTTGTTTGACCCATGTACCACCCCAACCTTTCTTGCTTTTTACACTACCTCGTTGCCGTGGATGGGTTTACATGTGAGTTAGCTGAAAGCCTGATGTGTCTCATACAGACACTAAAGGGTGACTTGTGTGTTGGCATCAGACGTCAAGGGCCACTTACCACACTGCTGTATTTGACATGCTGAGAATGAGAATGGGTTGAAGGCTTCACATTTAACATGTCCTTTTGAGTCTGTTAAAAAAACAGTTGACAGCTTATTCAGTACACCAAGCTACAACTAATAAAGTCTAATACAACAGCCCGACAGTGAAACTTCATTAGGGTTGTAATGTTCAGTTTTTGTTTTAGAGATGTGTTGATTCAACTTTATGGCCATTTTGCAGGCTGTGGTTTGTGCTGCAGTTAAACTTTAATGACATTATACTGAAAGATGTTTGTATTATTTTACAGCAGCACACGATGCATCGTCCAAAATGATCATATGATTCATTGCAGGACTGCATTAGTTTCAAAACAGGCAACTGAGTGAACACTGATGAAATCATTGCAACCTTTAATTATATTAGTCTTATTATTTATGCTTAATCAGTCATAAATCATTGTGCCAATTGTTATTGTCTATTAAAAACAAAAACACCTTGCAATCTAAGCCATTATTATTACTAATCAATTAGTATTTTAATCTCTGCCATGCTTTGTGATCATGATTATTGTCCTATGTGATCTGTTTTTGCAGTGGCCCTGCTGCAGCGGTACAGTGTCTCTTAACCGCAGTATCATAAACAAAAAGTCGACAGTGTGCTGTAACCTTGGTATTTCAGCCCTGAAATCAGAGACTGGCTTGGAGTGAAGCGAAGAATAGCCGACCACCTCTTTTATCTTTAGGCAAAAGCAGCAGATGGGGCACCCACAGTGACAAATACCCAGCACCAGTGCTCAACATGGCATCTACCAATCCTAGCTGCCCACAATGCCATGTTAAGAGCACAGTAATTGCCATCCTGTCAGATTTTGTTTGAGACTTCATCTAATGCTAAGGCTAGGGTTAGGGCTTGATGAATGTTTTACAAACAGGAACAATCAAGGTTTGTTTAAAATGTTTGTGTGTGCTGAAGGTTCAGGCCTATAATTAAGTTTTTAGGACAAATCTTTAGGTGAGATTTTTTGCCAACATTTGTTCTTTTGAGTGGGTTATTGATCAACTCTGTCAGCTTGCAAACCATCTTGCTTTTTTTTTTTTTTTTTTTACCCATTTTACACTTCTCCTTGTCTGATCTCCTTTGTAGCCTCTTGTTTCCCTCCCTTTTCTTCCAATCTTCTTTCATCATTCTTGTCCTTTTTCTCCCGTCCTCCCAGATCTTACTTTATTCACTCAACAACTTAACAGACGAAGAGAAAAAAAAATCTCTGACTCGCTACAGTTGTTTCATAAAAGCAGGAAATATAAATACACATTTCTTCCCCATTGACCGACATGGCACTTCCATATTTAGCTGTGCTTACAATATCTCTGTCTCATCCGGCTACAATGCTCCTTTACTGATCACAATAAGAGCAAACAATAACATTATGGAGCCTGTACAACACACACACGCACACTTGGGCACACAAACAATACGCCATTGACCGGCTGCTTTGTTTCGCAGAACAAACACATAGAGAGAATTGTAAGTGAAATCATAGCGAGAATGGATCGAACACACACAGAAAGAGAGAGGGAGGGTTGAGAAAGACAACAATAATTTGTTCTGGGCTCAGCCAAATTGTCCCATTCACACACTGCAGACAGTGTGTGGCATTTCCTCTCGCTAGGGAAGCTGTTGGTCTTAGCCGTGTGCTAATGGCCACTGTTTGTCTCACATGGCCTTATTGTGTGGCCAGTGTTAACAATGGAAAGAGATAGCGGGCTGTGATATGGCTCAGTTTTACAGTGAAATAGATGAGAAGATATGCAGAAAAAGAAGTTGTGAATAGATGACATTTAGAAACGTCTGGTGAATAGAGTTTCTCCCTTTCTTCAGGCCCTGTCTACACTTCTACAGATACTTTTGTTAGCAGATATTTTCCTCTACGATTTGGCCTCTCGTCCACACGCAAACAGATTTTTTTAATGCCTTCTACAGTGCAGATTTTTTAAAACTCCAGTTTCTGTTCATCTGTGTGTATGTGTAAAATGGAGCATGGAGTCATAATCTCCTAAATTTGTGCATGCCCTCCGTCACTGTGAAATGAGCACATGCTAGAAACAACAACAATGCCGGACTTCTGGTTTGGTAACGTTTTGTTAGCACTGCTTGGTCTAATGACTACTGTACACTTAAACTTAGTATTGCTGCACCACTTCACAGACAAACAGAGGCGTCAGCCCTTTAGCTTCTGAGAAAGGTAAAGCAAAAGTTTGGCAGAGTGGGGTGTTGTGTCTTAGAAGGACCGTGCTGTGTATACTTTATGTCTTGAAGGTGTTTGCCCAACATCGAGTGTTAAACACTACTTTGAGAACAAACACAAGAAAACTTCCAAGGAAAAGGCAGACAAGGCTGAATCTGTTAAACGTGCCCGATCGAGGTATGGGAGCAAGGAAACACCCTAGAAGTCTTTGCCACTGCTAAAAATTACATTTGTGACCACAGAGGGT